GCTTGAGCATGCATCACTGAGTTGTTTGTTTTATTTTTGTTTTGTTTTTTTGTCAATCAAATGGAACCAACCAACCCTCCATGCACCTGACCTCTTTTTTTAGGACGTAACTATGACAAGGATGGTGACCTGAAGGACTGGTGGACACCAGACTCCACTCAAAGATTCCTGGAGCTGTCAAAGTGCATTGTCGATCAGTATGGCAACTTCTCTTGGGACCTGGCAAATGGACTTCATGTATGTGTCAAGAATCCCGTCTTCTTCTTTCCTTATTTTCAGTCTTTTAAAAAATTTACATCAGATCGAATATTATCCCTAACCTTGGTTTTTTCTTATTTATTTGTGTTCCTGTAACATTTGCCGGTTATTCATTTCTCATTTTTCTGTCCTTCCCCCAATTTTGCAGCCTCATCTCTTCTCTGCTTCAGGGCTCTTTATTAGTGTGCATTCATATATTAATCCCATTGGCTCTCTTTGTCGGGTTTCCTTTGTCCTGTTGCTTTGAACAGTGCTTCTTTTATCCCCTGGGAAAATGATTTCTTGCATCCTAAAAAATGATATTTTTGTTTGGGGATATGTAGAGAAAAAGTTGCAGACTCCAGATGTCCATTTTCTTTTCTGTTTTCTCTCTGTATGTCCCCTCCCCAGTTAAATGGCAACGACACCCTCGGGGAGAACATTGCTGACAATGGAGGGATACGACAAGCATACCAGGTAATGAGCCTAGAAACTAAATGAGGAAATTTGTTTTAGGAGCCCTGTTTTACAGATGTGACAGAAGTGGATTTAGTCAGTGGTTTGTTGTCCTTGTCTGCTTGCTAACTATTAGAGGTGTGATTTTACCAGGTCATTGACTTGCTCATTTGCTATTGTAAACACAATTGAAAAACATGATGTTAGTGCTGAGTTAGTCAGTTCTGATGTGATGTGAACAGCCAAAGAGCAGATTTGAATGCAGTATGTTATAAACATTCTTATTTTAGATCAACCATGATTTTGTACAAGTATTTATTTTAAAATACATTCACATTCTCAGTTTTGTTTTCCTGTTGAGCCCAGTTTGAGATCTGATTTCCTTGATGAAGGATAAGCTCAAATGGTGGGGGTGCACACCTCTCCCTCTCACAGGATTCGATATGTATCTCAGTGCATGGTCTATGATTAGATACAAAAACGATACCACAAAATTTGTAACGATACAATACAGTGTGATTCAATTCAATTCAGCAGATATTCAGTTTTAATGTAGCTTTTATTTGACAGACTATATATACATTAAAGTATCTGTTTAGGGCATAAAAATAAAACAAATTAGTGTTTCCTCAAAGTGGTTTTGTATTTTAAGCAGCAAAAGCCAAAGAGATAAAACCTGATGTCTACTCTTTCTAACAATAATAAACAACAGGCACTGGTGAACATAAAGCTCCAGCTGCTGTTTCACCTTATCATACAGAGCTGGAATGCATTTCTCCCTTAAATCCAGCTGACTGTCATTTGTCCAAATCCCACATTTTCAACAATAAAGGTGTGTATCCTTGCAAATGAAACAGCTTATAGCAAAGGTGTCTATCCTTGCAAATGAAACAGCTTATAGCATCACTTATTGACTTCGACCCAACTGGGTGGGATTATCGGCTGATGTGCTCTGAAAGTAGCTGCTGAAACTAGCACTGTTTGCACCTGCAGCTATCTGTACTGTGTGTGGCTTTTTTCCTGGACCTGCGTCTTTGAGGAGATGGCACATACACATATAGGAGAGGCAAACGCTAGAACTGAGCACAGCGAGAAATAACAGAAAACATGCCAAAGTTCGGTTTATGAGGTCCATATCGACTTTAGACCGTTTTTTAAACTCACTTGGTTTAAATCTACAGCCATAAATCTGACTTTTGAATCACTTTTCCGATATATATCGGTTTATCGTTACACTCCTATCAAACTGAGAGCATCACTGTATATTATAACTGGGGTTTTAAGGAAGAGGTGAGAGTGTATATGTGTTTATTTTCTGTCCATTAATACAAAGGGACATCAATATAACTGCTAATTCTGAAACTATAGTTTTGATAAGCTGCTGCAATGACTTTGTGCTGTTGCAGTAAATTCACAGATGACAGTGCAGTTTCCAAGACATCACAGTTGTATTTTTTGCATACATGAGTCCCTAGGTAACCCAACACATGCCGCAGTAGTATCCTCATAAATTTTGATGAAAACACCAGAACAAAACTAAACAATCCCCCCCAAAAAAACAAACAAACAAAAAACTGGCAATTTATATAAATTGTCTTGTCTTGTTACATTATTGTAGGCCTACAGGAACTATGTGAAGGTGCACGGAAAGGAGCCACCGCTCCCTGGCATCGACCTTTCCCACGATCAACTCTTCTTCCTAAACTTTGCTCAGGTAGCGGATGGCTGGACAGATGAATGAATTACAGTACTTGGATAAATAAATGCATGCAATATGAATGATAAATGTGTGGATGATTAGGTGGATAGATGGATGGATGATTTGAAACTGACTGCAGTATGTGCTCATTTGATGGGCTAATGCAGTATATGCCAATCACTGTCTTAAACCAGGTGTGGTGTGGAACATACCGACCAGAGCAAGCTGTTAATACAATTAAAGTAGATGTACACAGTCCAGGGAAGTTCAGGTAAATTCAAGCCTTGACACAATGACACAGTTAAAAGTACTCTTCTAATAGAGGAGCTTCAGACCTAATCAGCAACTGTGTTGTTGTATGTACCACAGGGTTCTGGGCTCACTTCAGAATTTCCCAGAATTTGCCAAAGCATTCAACTGCAACAAGAGCAACTACATGGTCCCTGACAACATCTGTCGTGTGTGGTGAGCCACAGATTTCAGCAACGGGGGCTATTCTGATGTGGGTCATCCCCGTACCCCCTACGGCACCTCTCCCCTCTGACTGTTGGAGCACACATGGGGGGCTCCAGGAAAGTGAAAGCTCTCCTTGGCTCTCTACTGGAGGGCTGGTGGACTGACACTGCAGTATGCACTTCTTCTTAGGACAGCAGCAGACTCTACCCGCACAGACAGAGACAGACAGACCTGCCTCTCCAACTCTGATACTGTAGTTCATTCAATCAGCCTGATTTTTCTGCTACTCACTGGATACAATCACTCCCTGTGTTTTTGTTTTTCTCTCCATTTTCATTTTCTTTTACTTATCATTTGTGAGTCTATCAGCATGCATGTGTTGCGTGTGTGCGCACATGCGTGTGTGTAAGTCAAGAGAGGAACAGACA